ATCAAAAGCCAAAAGACAGACCCTTGAACACAGGGGTCTGAACGGGCAGGGCCACTCGTCCATGATGCTTTCGGTAAATACACTGAAAACAAGACGGACCTGCTCAGGGCTCTGTCCTTCCGTGCCCTGCTCGGCACCCCTGCACTGTCCCGTGAACAACACCCCAACACCCTGCACAGGCCCTCACTGCTCCCGCGCCGTCCGGCCGCAAGTACGAGAAATGTACGGCCCAAGGAATCACAAAGCGAACTTTCTTCCTGACGGATCAGCCCTTTTCCCACGGAATCAGTAAGTGCTCCCTTCGGTCTGCAGTATTAGAGCTTTAAAAAGCAGATAATTATTTCCCTTCACGTTAGAGCAGGGATAACTTAAGGGACCTGAGAAATATCAAATATGTTTTAAACATGTTTCATTAAATAATCATCACAGGCACTTGGGACGGAACAGCAGGCCCTGCGGGGACTCGAGGGGGAAGGAGCGCTAAGCCGAGAGCAGCCGTGGTCTCCGGGCGTGTCCTTGAGAAAGACAATTAGAAAGAGGAGTCGCGGGGCTCCTCACACAGGGTGCAGAGCAGGAGAGGGCAGGGGTGGCGCATGGTGGCCTGTCAAAGCCAAACACCCCAGGGCAGGGCGGCTGCACAGACGTCTGTGGATGCTAAAGAGCAGCTCTAACCCAGTGGTTCTCAACCTTCTGGCCCTTTAAATACAGTTCCTCATGTTGTGACCCAGCCATAAAATTATTTTCGTTGCTACTTCATAACTGTCATGTTGCTACTGTGATGAATCGTCATGTAAATATCTGATCTGCAGGATGGTCTTAGGCGACCCCTGTGAAAGGGTCGTTCGACCGCCAAAGGGGTCGCGCCCCACAGGTTGAGAACCGCTGCTCTAACCCCAGCTCTAAATGCCAAGATTCTGGAGTCATGATTGCCCACAGATGTTTATATTTACTTTGTCAGAAAAGAGACTAATTTTTACTTCCTCGTACATTTTTCCTTCTCGCTCATGATGTTCCTATTCATTTATGCC